TGCGGGTGTATAGTTTCGTTCGTTTTTTGTATTTTTTCATCGTACGAAAATCTCAGTGGAATCGCCTGTTTCATTGAACAGTAGGGTTTTATGTTGGAGTTATTGTTATTGTTTTAATGAACATTTTCAGATAGCTGTAGATAAATTGTACGAATTCGTATCAGACACGATATATGATAGTCGTGTGGCAGCAGACACGATCGCAGAGATGGTGTTTTGTGCAGTTCGGGTTAGTTTTTGGTTTATTATTGTGAGCATTCATTTTGCATTTGCATTTGAAAGTCCTCAAGTTCTGTTTGGTTGAAAGCAATCGAGAAAAGTGCAGTGAAATTAGAAGATGACCTGTAGTTTTTCTCGTTGCTTTCAATCGGTAATTTTTAAATATAGATAAGGTCTATTGGTTGTTTTGAGTGTGAATTATGTTGAAAGTTTACTTTCATAGCGTATTCAGTTTTAGTTAGAATTGGAGAATTTTTAGACGTATCCAGCCGAATCGTTGGAACGTTTTCTGAATCTGATCATGCGCAAGCTCTCTGCAGCAATTACAGGTGAGCGAGTGTTTATGAATTTAGATTGTCGTCGTCACTGAACTTAGTAGTAGTAGTATTAAGGATCATTTGATGGAGATTTCTGCAGTTGGCAGATATATTTTTAAGATTAGCGGAATACTGGACAATTTCAGTGATAATTTACTGGTGATATATAGATTGGGCGATGGTCAAACTTCGTACTGAACAATGTATTCATATTTGTTTTACTACGATTATCATTCGTATTGTGATCGTTTTTAATTTCGCTTTGATTCCGTTCTGTTGCAGAGGAGACGTATAATGAAGAGGAGGTCGACTCGACAATAATCTGGTACTTGGTATTAGCCACACAGTTGGTTCGTGTTTCGGGGTTGTATGTGGTTCGATATAAGGATCGTGTATTGCAACTTCTGCGATTGATTGTTCCTTTGAGATGTCGGAATGCTTACGAGGTTAGTGTTTATGGAAAAGGCGATTTTTCTATTGTGATTTTCTGAATTTTAGTGGTAAGATCTTGTGGAAGTGAATCGCTTATATTATCGTCTTTATTGATCATTTGGATTGCGATTGTGTTGTCATCTTATTCATAATTCATTTTGTTGTCTTTATTCGTGATTTTATTTTGTGGATTTCAATTGCAATTGAGGTGTTGTTTGCAGCTGTCGTGTAGTGCGTTGGAGAACGTTTTGATCGTATTGACGAGTGTTTATTCGGATAACAATGAACTGAATCGTGAGGTATTGGATCAGCCACTGGAGAAGTATCTACCGGTTCGGGTAAGAGCATTGAAACGATTACTTGTTGATTGGATTTTAGTTGTGGTCTGATGTTGAGCAGTGGAATCGGTGGCAAGTAGTCATTGAATCAGTGATAGTCTCAGCTTTGGTGGATATTGAAGATTGAATGACGATGGTGATCATGGCATGTGGCGTTTGATAGTTTTTTGTGAATTATAAAGAGAATTTTAGAATTGGGCGAAGACGGCGAATCGAAATTCGTTAAGTATGCGTTGGCATATTCCGAATGAAGATGAGATGCGTTTAGCCGGGGCGATTCTCGATGAGTTCTTCTATCCGGAACTGGAGAAACTCAACAATCCAGACTCACTTTCGAAGTTTGATCTTGACTTGACGAATTTTGTTTCTTTTTAGCATTCCCACAAATTTATTCAGTTATTGTTATGAGCAAAATGTTGGAAAATGAAGATTCATCTAGTGATTTGTTATGAGATTCTATTCGAAAAGAGAGTTTGAAAGGGATTATTTGAACTGAAAATCGTTCGATTCAATTCAGTTGTTTACTCAAAACCCTATAGAAACGTTTCATATTTGTTTGTGCTATGGCTTAATTGATTGTTGCTGTCGCAGGACGGAGATGTTACAAAGTCTAGCGGTCGTCAGCAGTTGTCTGTCGGGAATCTCGGCATCTTTGCCTGCCCTATCGGGTCCACTATTGAAATTCATTGACACACCAGTGAAGTTCTATCCATTCGAATTCCTTGCGGCACCATCTTCGTTGAAACGTTTGTTTGCTGGTTGTTGTTGTGGTTGTTTTGGATAATTGATTTGTGCTGAGAATGAATGGATAACATTAGACGTCGGAGTATATTGGAAATACCATGAAGAGAGTGATTTCTGAATAGAATGAGTTTTGAGTTGTCTTCAACGAGAACAAAATTGTTTCGGTGTGTATATGAATAATGTTTTGTGATGTTGATGTAGTGATTTGATGATTTAAGCACCAACTCGAAACGGTGAGAACATTCGTGATTTTGTGTTGAGTCGAATGACGGCCGTTGCGGATTATCTGTTGAGAAATCGTGAAGAGGACACGAAATCGTTGAGTGCCGTTTGCAAAATACTCTACATTATACTGTTCCAACGAGGCATCGATAAGGTACAAACAAACAAACGAATTGAAATGCGCTCTTTGCATTCTGATACACTTTTCTGTTCAGTTAAACTGACAATCGTGAACGAGTGATCAAATTTTGTTGATTAAGTGGCGATATTTTAGGCGAAATACGAAGCTCAAAACCAGAACTATAGCGTATCGAAACGCATTGTCGGTGACTCTGTGCGAGGCAATCGTGCGAATATTGAGCTGGTCACCTTCGAGTATATTCTACTGCAACACAATGTAGGTTTTCGCTTGTCTTGTTCGAAGAGTAGCTATTTTTCAATGGACGAAGAATATCGTGCAGTTGAAACGCAAGGATTTTGAATGGTCTTTTCGTATTTTGTTATGATGGAATGAATTTCGGAAAGAAAGTTGTTACTGCTTATTATAAGGAAGAGTAGATGTGTGCGATGAAATGATTCTGGATGATTTGTTTGGAAATCAGTGGGGAATTTGTGAAAGCAATGAGTAATTTAGTTAAGTTGCTCTATTAAAGCCAATTGTATAGAGATTGATTAGACAATATTAACGTATTTTGTGGAGGTTAGACAGTGATTATGGGATAAGGTGCGATGATATGATTGGGATTATTTGTGGATGTTCTGAGAGGATTTAATAAACATTACAGAAACGTTTGTTGGCTCGTTCCGGTTATTTGGTCACAGAGCGACATTTGCAAACGATGAAACTTCTCGTGCGAATTTCCACAAGTGCCTATAGTGCTGTATGTTGTGTTCATTTGAGAATCATTTCTTTGACAGGATTGTCATTCTGATTTATTATTATCATTTGACTTTAGTCCTGAACTTTCAGCAAACAACTTCATAACGTCGCCACTTTACAGGTACGAATCGAAGCTCAGCGCGTTCTGGACTGTTGTATACAGAATTTTCCGTACGCTTATTTGCACATTATTGATGATGTTTTGCCTCTGCTCAAAGAATCTCCTGATATCACGCATAAACAATTCAAGGTTTGTTTGATGGATCAGTGCTGATGATTAGTGTAATCGTTGATATTTTGATTGATTTTATCGGTTTGATCAGTATTATTGTTGCCATTGCAGTAGTGATATGATTGATAGGCATCAGTTCATGCTGATTATTCATTATATCAGTTTCTGTTGTCTCCTATAGGGTGCATTGTATATCCTGCTGAATGGCAAACG